ACCCTAAGACACTAATAGCAGACAGTAAGTCTGAGTGCCTCATGACGAAGCAGTTACCTTTTTTTTTATTTAACCAATAAGTTCTTATTCTTCAGTTTAAACAATACGTTTTAGACATTTTGGGGTATAGATATGATTGGTTGGACAACAAACATGAACACAAGGCACACTAACCAGTTGGATTTGAGTGAGAACACTTTAATGTAGCATTTGGAAATGTAGCAAATTGAGCATGTGGGGAGAAACGTTCAAAAGGGCTTTGTCATAGCAATCCACACCCTGTCATGAGCAAATGATAAATGGATCTGGTGATCTATTTAACACTTTTTTTCGCTTCAAATCATAAAAAAGAAAACAAGAGGTCATGTTTGAGGTTACATAGGTGAAACCATCTTCTCCCTAAGTTAAATCGTCCCTCTTCTTGTCTTTAAAGTATGTCATCTTGAAATTAAAAATGATTTAAATGGATTCAACAACATGGTCTCGACTCAGTTATTGGAGTTACTGTAACAGCAACAGCAAGTTATCCAGAAGCTTATATTGAATAAAATTTGTAATGGTCATCCTTATTGATTTTAGACATCTTCTGTTGGAAGGGAAAGTAAAGACACTGTCTTTTCACTTACTCATCTCTCAATGACTCATCTTCTCCAATAGTAAGGTTATTTTTAAGACCAGAACCTCAGTGGTTTACAGCATGTGGTAGTTGACAATGACTAATGAGCTTTCAAATAACACTCGCTGTTGTTAAGCAAGCAACAGCATTACAGTAGTGTTTAATAGCGTTATTTTCACATGATAATCTATTGTGTGTGTTTAAGGAGTTTGATACAAATCAGTGCTCAAAAGAGAGATTGATCTGTTAAGCTATGCTAATAAGTCATTTTTTGTTATTCTGATGAACAGAAGGAACATATAATAGATGGTGTGGCAGAATCCTGCTGTGGGAATGCCTTTCTTTAGAAGGAAGAAAGAGGCTTGTAAATAATTATGTCAAACAATTTGAAGCATTACTAGGAAAAACATTTGGTTAGAGTATGTTAAAGCTTTGACAACGAGGTAAGGGTTCATTGTAAACAACAGGATTACAACCCTATATAGGTTCATAGCACTAGAATAGCTGGATCACAGTCTATTTAGACATTCAGGATGACTTAGTTTTAACTAAGAAGAAATACTCTTAAATCTCCTTCTCTTAAGGCTTGTAAAAATGCTTACAGTACCTCTCTACTCTACTGGCCAAGACTGGAAATAATGCACATTTCTGTGGGTCTTTCACATACGATTCTAAGGCATTAAGATTTGTGATTTTAATCATAAAAAACCTGAAAAAGTTACATTTTTATAAATAGTTTTGTAAAATAACATAAAATATGACCTTCCTCCAAAATCTGTAGAAACATATTCAAGTATACAAGTGCCACAAACACAAAGCTTGATAATCTTATTGGGATAATTATATTACATGGCTGTAGCCAGGTCATATTTCAGTTGTTTGTGCAAGTATTTTGATATTTTAATAGAATATGGATTAATTCAAATTAAGCTACTGTCATGATTGGTTTAATATCAAACCCACATGCAGAACACAACGGAGGCTGGGTAAAAGTTTAACAGAGTTTATTAAAGATGTTGACACACAGAATCATGAACTGGATCAGGAACAGGTCCGGGTTGGGTTCACTGAAGTCTGCAGAGATGATAGTTTGATTAACTGGCAGGCAGATGATTAATGAGTCCTTAGATAATTCTGATTCTACCTTGACGGGATCCAGACTTCTCTTTGTGAGAGAGGGAACCCATGGGTCCAGAGACTGTTGGTTCAGCAGAGTACACAAGCAGCTGCAGCGTCTAGCTTCTGACTTTGAATGGCAGACCTTGATCAGAGTTTCCAGCTCTTCACAGAGAGCAGCAGGGGAAATCCAAATAGGAATCTTCAGGTTTGGCTCACCAGGGCTGGAAGGCAGGTTAAGCTCACCCAGAGCTTCGGGCTTGAGACAGGTTTCCTGTGAGCAAAAACAGAGGAGAGTTAGAATCAGTTCTCTCACTTGAGACAACTAAGATTCTTTCAGGTATCAGAGGCTCAGGTTGCTAACCAAACTAAGGTCAACACTGCGGCGTCGAAGGAAGGTCTGGCAGCTGCTTATAAAGGGAAGGTCTCCTGATGAGTAGATGTGTCTCAGGTGTGCTGGAGGGCTCCAGCCCCAGGAGACCCACGGCGCACTCTGCTGGAGGAAGGTGGTACATCCCCAGATCCCAACAGCTACACTGAGAAAAGTATGCTTAGACAATGACTCTTGATTTTTGTTACAATACTGGTCCCTTAAAAACATACTGCAAAATAAGGACTGTTTTTTTTATAAGTTATCATCTTTTAAACACAGTGTACTCTTTCTAGAGCATGTATGATGAAAAAAATCTGATTCATTAAAGCACGTTTCAACCATTAGGAGATAGCTATAAAAAATCATAAAAGACAAAGAATTTTATACAAGCCTGCTTGGTGATAATGCATTGTAATAGAATAAATAGCTGGAAAATTTTATATTTATATATTTGTTTTTATTAGACTTTAGTTACATGAATAGCTTAAGTAAAATCAATTCATATATCCAAAAATTCCCAAAGTACGCTTCTTCAGCTTTGTACAGTCAGTGAAAATGGTAAAAACCTTCCTGATGTTAAACAAAGAAAAGCTGTAAATGGAAAAAAACAAACAAAAAAAAAAAACAAAGGTTTTCCTGTTCTTTACTTAAACAAAAAATGACAAAAACCAAATCAAAGGCCTGCTAATCAGCTTAAAGTGTTTTTCCCTCTTCTTGTAAAATAGGATGTTATTTTTAAAGAGCGGCTTTAATGATGTCACTGATGGGAAAATTGCTACTTAACTATTGAATAACTATACTAGTAAGTTTTATATTGTTATTAACTCTATGAGGGAGAAAGGTTTCCTGTTTGCTTTTAATAGTTTATATGTTCTTTCTGCTGCATTTAATGGTTTCTGCAGTTCCTCTACTTCCTCTACTGCTCTATTCTCAGTTGCTTTGCATTAGTTATTTGGCTTCACCTGATTTCAATCCCAGTAATCTTCTCTCCTAGCGTTGTCTTCCTCTTAGGTTCTATGATATTCAGTTACTTTTAACCTTTGTTTTTGTACTACGTGTAAATGCAACTTGTTATTGCAACAAGTATCACCAGTACTAACACATAAAACAAATACAATACACAAATGGGTATCACCCTATAACTCCTGCATCTGATTTTTAACATTAACTTAAATCTATCTCTCATAAAAACCTGTTTGTATTACTTGTGGCTAGAATTCATCATGCAAGACCCTTTAGGTTTCTAGAACCTTGAGTATATTTTTTGTTTGACTTAAGAGGATTGGAGAAAGATGATAATGTGTTACAGTCTTACAATTGCACTTTGGAGAGGCATGTTTTATCTGCATAGTCTTTTTTTTAAATTTCAAATAAATTTACAGCTTTCTAATTTTGGAAATACATTGAAAACACTCTGTAATAAATAAAAATTAAACCTGGAAATATTTGCTCATAAAACAATATAAGTTACTCTATATTGTGGGACCTTTATTTCTGAAGGATTATGGCTTATTCTGCAATGACACATTAGTATATATATCTATCTCACTGCATGTCAAAGACATATTCTGTGTCTTGCAAAGCTATCAATATGTATAACACTTTTCCATATTTTGTCAGGTTACTACCAACATACAGTATCTCCACAATGTTCACCAAAAAAGGGCAAATATACAACATACATATGTATTTACTACCTGTGTGAATCAGTCTAAACTAACTTTTGCCAAAATAATGACTTAAGCTCATACTCTTTTGTCCTTATCATACTGTTTATTCATTAGTGTTGAGGGGATTTATGCTTAATCTTAACATCTTAACTGATATAATTCTGTTCCACAGCATCATAGTAAAGGGGCTTACTACTAGAGGTGTCAAGAAACAAAGTAAAAAATACCCTGTTACCTTAAGTAGAAATTTTGGCTATCTATACTTCACTGGGGTAATTGTTTTTTGGATAACTTTTTACTTCTACTCCTTACATTTCAAAAATAGACTTGTCAGTTTTGTTTCATTGACGCTCATTTTCGTTATGGACTGTTGGTATTTAAAAAAAACAAAACAAAATAATTACAAAAAACTAAATCATTTGCTTCATCCAGGCAACTATTTTCTTTGTGGTAATTTCTGCACAAACATACCAAAATAAATAGTTTTTCAAAATGATTCAAAGTAAAATTTGACGCTGTTGTCATTAGTTATAAAAGTAATAAAATTAGGTCTAAGGAAATTATATTCCAGAATTGTAGAAAAATGTTCCTGTAGTGCAGTATAAGGTTTAAAGCTTCAGTCCTTCACATTTTTTCCTGCATTACTTCTTTTTTTAATATTTAAATAGTTTTGAAATGGTACTTTTACACTTTTACTCAATTAAAAAGCTTAAGTTGATATTCTACCTTCTCCAAAAGTGTTTTTAAACAGTAGAATTCCTACTTCTATTTGAGTAATAAACATTAGTACTCTTAATACCTCTGCTTACTGCAAATGCATAGCAAATTTTATTAATTCTAGTTGGTGAGAACTTGTTTATTCTAGAACTTTCTTTTCATACTTCTTCTTAATGATGTCCTACTTTATTTTGGCTTATCACATAAAATTTTGATATCATAAATTAAAGTTTGTGGCTGTAACTTAAAAAATATTAAAAAAAAGTTTATTAGGTATGAGTAGCTTTGCAGAGCACGGTAACCAATAACAGTGGAAATATAGGTTATGTACACAGTTTTACTCGTGACTTATTTTGGGTTCTTTTTAGGAAAAATACTGCTAAAGCAAATTGTTATAAGCACAAAAAGGTTTCAACCACAACACTGGTTGGAGTGAAACAAATTAAGTTATTTTTTCTAGTCTTCTTTTACCCAATTTTTACATTTCAGCAGAGACCACTTAAACTCCTGGCAGATGGAACAGCCTGACTTGAACAATCCTGGCTACACAGGAGCCTCTACCATGCTCCCTGTGTGTGTGAATTCTTCCAGCCCTGATGACTTTTCATCCTCCTGGGTAGTTGTCATCCTCTTCCAACGCTGCTCATGAAAAAAAAAAAAAAAAAAATTGAAGATTTTGGCAAGACCATGAAGAGTTTGTGTTTATCAGTCATATCAGATTAGATTTATCTAGATGAAAATATGTAATAGATAAAGATGGGATTACATCCATCAATTCAACAACAGCAACATCTGCTTCTCACAAAGTGTTTTAAAGTTAGCATAGTATGAGTTTTTAGAGTGCCAAAATTTTAACAAATTAATGAGATATCGATAACAGAGGAGGTACCTGTTTGATGCTGCCTTTGGTGGTTAAAAACATGTAGATCACATAGCCTGGGATGAGGATCATTGAGGACAGGGCCATACACCATCCAATCACTTGGCCCCACAATGGATACACATACTTCCCAAGCATTAGTGGGGTCATTTCAATTGCACTGAAGGTGAAGACTCCCTATAAATGACAAATATAATTTTAATTGTTTCTTTGAATATATCTTTTGGTCTTAATATTCTTGTCATAGTATTATGTTCAAAGATTATGTGAGATGCTCTGATTTTAACCCATTTTAAACTTTTCTGATTATTTCTGAATTCTCTTTTAAACCTGTAACTGAAGATTTCGTAACTATTTATTTGTATGATACAGCTGCATATAAGTATTTGAACACCTGTCTATCAGCTTGAATTCTGATTCTTAGAGACCTGTTAGTCTCCCTTCAAAATGTTCATCTCCACTCCATTTATTCTCCTAGATTAGACTCACCTATTTGACGTCATTAGCGCGGCACCTGTCCACCCCATACAATCGGTAAGAATCCAGCTACTACCATGGCCAAGACCAAAGAGCCGTCCAAAGAAATTAGAGACAAAATTGTACACCTCCACAAGGCTGTAAAGGGCTATGGGGAAATTGCCATGCAGCTTGGTGAAAGAAGATGCATTGTTTGAGCAATCATTAGAAAATGGAAGAAGCTACTGTAATAGCCATTCAAATTGTCCCCACTTTCCTTGATGGGCCATTGGCTGGTCCTAGGCAATTCCTTTTTTATTATCAATCTTTGTACTAAAATATTCTGTCATAATTTGTGGACATTAAGATCTAAAGAGAAGTGTTATCTCCTGGTCAAACCCTGTAATTCATTCAATGAATGGTGGAGTCAGATTAAAAAAATAGGCACGCACATGGGAAAGACATTGGCTGGAAGTTGGAGGGTATTTTGCTGGCTGCAGGGAAATGAGTTGCCATTCGGCCAGCTTTTGACTGGGAAGGGCCATTTTGAAAGGCTGATACTGTAAACATGACTGTCAGTCAGAGATGGGAAGTAACGAAGTAAAAATACTTCGTTACTGTACTCAAGTAGATATTTCTGATATTTTTACTTTACTTTACTACTTATTTTTATGGCGACTTTTTACTTCTACTCC